TACAGTGCTGTTAAGTCCATACTAATCTTGGGAGATAAGCTGTTTAGTGCTCATCAAGATCACAAAATTCGTGTATGGAAAATTGATCACATCACAACCCGTCATAAGTACAAGTGTATTGCAACATTACCAACCGGTAATGATCGTTGCATGAGATTATTTTCTGCTAAGAATTATATACAAGTGCGTAGACACAAAAAATGCACTTGGGTACATCATGTTGATACAATATCAGCACTGGCTTTATCAAGAGATGGCTCTTTACTCTATTCTGTTTCATGGGATCGAACATTCAAAGTATGGAAAACCTCGAATTTCAATTGCCTAGAATCAGTGTGGAATGCACATGATGATGCAATAAATGCCATAGTATTGTCCAATGACACGCATGTTTATACAGGTATATGGAATCACCTCGTCTATAAGTTTAAGATTTTAAATAGAGGGCTCATTTATTTGTTTAGATTTCGTCTTCAAACACTCGACTGACGTACAATTTTCATACAGGTTCTGCGGACAAAAAGATCAAAGTCTGGAAGAAAAATGAAGGGGAAAAGAAGCATTCGCTAGTGGCCACACTAGAAAAACACAAATCAGCAGTGAATGCTTTGGCTTTAACAATAGATGGATCAATTTTATACTCCGGCGCTGCCAGCAATGGATCGATAATCGTCTGGGAAAAAGATGGCAGTGGTGACCGACATATGGCAGCGGCCGGGGCTCTAAAAGGGCACAACAAAGCTATCTTGTGCTTGACAGTTGTGTCAGATTTGTTGTGCAGTGGATCAGCAGATAAAACAGTTCGAGTTTGGAGGAGAGGAATTGGAAAAGCTCATTCTTTGTTGGCAGTTTTTGAAGGACACGAAGGTCCAGTTAAGTGTTTAGCTGCAGCTGTAGACAATAATCATACTGGGGATACAACTGGTTCCGGAACTTCGTATTTGGTTTACAGTGGAAGTTTGGATTTTGATGTAAGAATCTGGCAAATTTGGGTTCCCCCTTTTAGATGTTTCCTAGGAGAATCTAGTACATAGAAAAATTGAGGTTTTAGTATTCTATTTCTTGAGTTTGTTGCTCTAGTAGGGCCTTTGAAGGTAAAAAATTTATGGGTTCGAGTCTTGTCATTGTATTGTTCATCATATCGAGTGCGCTCGCAATTTATTGGCTAGTATTACTTTTAGTACTTCAGGGTTGCTTAAAAGGTTTACCAACAAGTGATTAACTTGTAAGTAAATTTTACAATGAAATACTTTTTTCACCTTAGGTTAATTGAAGATTCTGTTTTTTTCATTTGACTGTCCTTTCAAATATAGAAACTGTTAGCTGATTATCTGTTTTGATCATGATTTTATACCAAACAGCTTTGAAAAATTGAATAACTTGTGTATTAGTGGGTCTTTTAGTGGCATATCTGCTGTTAATGTGTCATTTTAGACTTGACATATATAGGGAAATAAATTGAATATTACACAACATGATTGCATTATTATATTTCAAAGATTATAGCTGACTTATATACAATTTACAGTATTTTTCAAAATGTTGTAGGGAAAAATTGACCTATTTGCTAACCAAAGTTGTAGCACTAAGAAAATCAAAGACAAACTATTTTTCAAAATTCCAAGCCCCTTTCTTGAATTCCTGAACTGATATATGATAAGGTTTTATGACGATGTCAACTTAATAAAGTTCATTTTATTTGATTGAACTTTGAAACCACATATGAAGAAACATAAACAGAACGAACATTAATGTAATACTGTTTGGTCATGTTTTTTATTGAACTTTGAAACATGCATAAAGAAACATAAATGGATGTAATACTGTTTGGCCATGTTTTAATTGTTATTGCGAGATACAAGCATAACATGGGAGGAATCGAGCCTAGAAAAACTTCTCATATTCAAAGGATTTAACGGAGGCATTTAGACTCTCAAATCCTTTAAACAGAAGAGTCATTCTATATAGCACCATCAAGCACCAATTTGGATGGTAGCGAGTGAATAAAAATATATGTCAACTTTATTGGACAATGAAACAATAAACCCCGACTGTCACATAGACAGATATTAAGTGTCAGTCGTCTCTAACGTTGTTTTAAAAACAAAAGGTTTTATAACCTTTACACCTCACATATAATTGAGATAAACCTTACTTTATTATATAGTGTATGTCATATCCTAAGGCTGCAGTAATAATTGTCAATTTTAAACTAAGAATTCATTAATTTAATCCATTTAATTAATTTAAGTAAGTTGAAAGTTAGGAAGTTAGGATTAAAGTCATATTTTTCTTATTCATTAATTCAAAATTAGGAGAACATGTAGACTAAACTTTTTGAGACAGTGAATAAATTTCATTTAATACTCTTTAAACAATTAGGAACCTGATTCGTGTCTCTTAATCACGATTTATTGTTAAGCAACTTTTTGCCAACTCCTTGTTTGGGTGTAAGCGTGGCAATTAATTAGACTAGTTAAAAAGTTTATTAATTCAAAAGAACTTTACTTATCACTTTTTACTCAGTTGGGATTAATTAAGATTAAAAAAATATTTAATTAATGCCAAAAATGCATCATGCTTCACTTGATTACGGTCATTACTGCATGCCAATACAAATTAAAATATTACAAATAATTAAAGATCCTGCAAGCAAATTAATTAATTAATTATTTTAATAAATATAATTTTTAATTCTAAAAATAAAAATAAATCTAAGTATAATAAAACAAATAGATTCAAGGTGGTCCCTGGTTCGAGTTTACTATTCAAGGCGAGGTGGGTCGTGATAGGGGTAGAGAATTTTGCCATCCCTAGCTCTATTAGATATAAAAGGAGAAACATCGATTCTATTTTTGTTATTACCTTTAAACATAGCTATTAAACTTGAACCGAACGGACCAATCTTACTAATGAAAGTTAAATTTGTCTTTGACCCGTTAGAATAGATTAACAGACGGGCGCGCTAATCTAAAATCCTATTGAACCGATTGGTCCAACTAGATTTTGAAAATTCACAAACGTCCAACTTGTTTTTTGAAACTTTACCTCCTAACTCTGAAAAGGTTACCCAAAATTATTTCCAAAACCAAGTCATGAAGGTCGTGCTTTTTCACTAGGTTATCACGTTAATTGGAACACATACTGACTATGTTTATACATGCACAATTTTTATAAATTGTCATTGAAAAAAATAAAACCAACAAAATGTCGTGAAAACCCGAGTAATAATTTATAGATAGAACTATATAAATATTCAGAAAATATCAAAAACTTATCTAAATCTAATATTTATTTTTTTACTCATTATAATATTCCAATCCTCATTAACTTTTAAACTTACATATCCATGCAATTTTTAAAAATTGTTTTACCCGACAATGATCCATCGGTTGAATCAGTGACCTACTGACCTTATTTTTTTGACCAAGTCAACGATCAAGTTGAGTCCAATAATTATACTATAGAGTAATAATTTTCTCTCTCTTTATTTTTTTCAATGTTGATAAAAGATACGTAAGTAGGAATATTTGATTGTAGTTATAATCCAATAGAGATCAATTTTGTGATCGATCGTCCATTAATAAGACGTCAATATCCGAAGACTACAAATTCGTCTACTCGAGTTCCACGAATAATGCATTTTATAGAATGCATTCGATTCTTAAATAGTGTTTTTAAATTGTTTGAAGAATATGTTTATTTGATTGATTATTTTAAGAAAGAAATAGCTGCAATCTCTCTCTCTCTCTCTCTCTCTCTCTCTCTCTCCCCCTCGCTCGTGTGTGCACAGGCAAAAGATATTGCTTTACTAGAGATAAAAACATTCAACCGCGCTACGTTACCAGAAGGCCTTGACATGGGCGTTGACAGGATGACGTGGCAGATGATGTGGCGGCCGAAATTGTTGACTGAAAATTTTTGAGTTGAAAATGCATTTTGAAATTGGACTGATCCGGCCCAAATGCTTAACCCGTTTCACCCACCACCATCCGAATCTAATTGAAAGGCTCAACCCCTATTTCCCAAATCCATTTCCCCCTTCTGAAACCCTCTTAAGTTGAAGCTGCAACCAGCTCCACCCCATACATCACATTTACCCATCTTCTCCAACGGCACAAATTCAAGCTAACGATGAAAGGAAAGAACTATGGAGTGTGCCATAGCTGTCGAAGCAAGGGACATTTTTTTTTGCAGAATGCCCGAACAGACGCCACTGACCACGGTGCAATCTGGGCTTCTTGAAGTGTTTTGAGGTGGAGAAAAAAAACGAAGAACCAAGGTAAGTTATTCAACACTTGCAGCGTGAAATGTGGCTTTTGGGAGTGGGTCGAAGAGGGTGAAATGAGTGGTGTATCTAGGTCCATTAATGTGGCGAACGCCATTGCTGAAGAGTTATCGGGCTTGTTGAAATCACGTTGTCGTGTAACTGATGAAGGAGATGAAGTTGAGATATCTGTGAAGGTGAAAATACGCAGTGGAAGAGTAACCTAGATTTGGAGGGTTTAATGAAATTGTAGTTAGGTCTGCCCAGATTGAATTTGGAAATCGAATTTTGAACGCTGTAAATATTGGCTTGTGCTTAGTGATTAACCAATGGGTAGCATGTGAAATCATAGTTAGGAATGTAGATTGAATCAGAAGCTTAACTCTTGTAAATCATTTCATTTGGAATTCCACTATGTACTGAGTGTTAACTTCTATTAGCAGTTCATTGTTTCCAAAATGTGAAGTGCTATTTCAGTGTTTTCCAAAATTGCAATGTGCTGCTGAGTTACTGAGAATAACAATTGTCGTGTATGGGTATTGCAAAAACTCCACTGCCAAGATGAGTTACTCAGCCCTGTTTTAATAGTTTTAATCTCACTTAACTGAAACTAAAATTCTCCTGTGATGTATGTGTTCATTGAAATGCAGCAATGAATTCAGAACTGAATATATTATTGAAAATCATCAGTAGAGTTTGGCAATGAAATGAACATCTGTAATGTTATCCTCATCAATGAAGTTAACATCAGCAAAGTACTGAAATAACTGGAGCCAAGTAATTTTTATCCTCACCATCAACACTATACGAAATGGACAAATCCATCTGATAGCATCCACTGGTTTCCCAAAACATTAGAAACGTATCATATGTCAATGGATAAATAGATTCATAACCGAACAACTGAATTTGCAACATAAACAAAAAAACAACTTCTTCTCTCAAAAAACGTTATTTTATAAATCAAATCTCAATAAACGAGACAAAAGAGGAAGACACAGTATCAGCAAATATATAGAAGCTTCGATGCAATATCTTGATCCAAAATCCATACTATATTTTGGTTAACAAAAATGTTGCGTATTTATATATCGCAAGTGTACGATATCGTAATAAGTAATATAGTGGACCTAAGA